TCTTGTTGGAACCACAGCTCTCCCATGTTTACTTGTTGCCGTTGAAGTTCGGGTAACAGAAAATTTTGTAACATGTGAACATAACGTGCTGAAGTAACTGTTACTGCTCTTACTTCCTCTTCAACAAAGTAAGGACCAACGATACCTAATTTACTGATTCCGCACCACACAGCTAATTTTTGACTATGCAAGGGTCGTTGGTGTAGCTCTCGTAGATTTTCGGCCGCCCAATACCTACAGTTCTGCTTGTTTACATATCCTGTTAAATGGAAGTGTGCTTCGTCACTCATCATTATGACGACGTCAGGATCGTCAGCAAAATGGCCCGCATTCTCGCACAAAATTCTCTACGCTGTGCAAAATCGCTTTCCGTTAGCTCTTGCACGATCATTATCTTGTACGGATGATATTGTAAATCGTCATGCAGAATGCGTTGTAACGACCGACGGGACATACGCAGAGTTGGAGCTTGGCGCCTAGTGGACCGTTGGGGACTATCAAGGACCGCTCTTCTCACTGTTTCGATATTGCCTGGAGTCCGCACGGTACGGGGAAGGCCAGGTGGCTTCCTCTTCATTACGGATCCAGTACTTCGAAATGCTTCAACCCATCGGAGTATTGTGTTTCGATCTGGAATTGGCCCGTGGCGTTCAACATTGAACTGTCGACGGAATAAACGTTGCACGATCACTACAGAATCATCGTTTCGAAAAACTTGCTCGACGGCAAACACACGATGCTCCGTCATCCACGGTGCCATGGCTGAAACTACATCGCATGTGTTCTCTGCTGGCGGTGCGGCGAGGTCATATCCCTATTCCTGTGCGAAATACCATTCGGTCAGAAAACATGCGTTTCCTCTGCGCCACCCTGTATATACGAGTATATATATATATATATATATATAACTTGAGACGTGGTCATTGTCGTCTAGACCAGTTAGGTGAAAAATTAAAGCTTCCGCCTTTTGTTGGGTACTTCGACAAAATTCAAGCAAAGAGGACTCTTTATACTTTTTTTAATTCTCTCTAGCTTTCAATGGACTTTGCCATCATCATCAGGAGCTGCAATTACAATGATAACAGTAGCAACAAAAGTGTAAAATGAATTTAAATTGAATCAACTTACAGTAGTATGAGAGGATGTTGCTAATTGTTGTTTTCATATAGGATGAGGGAAACGTCCAGTAACATGGTGAGAGCTGGATACATGGTACAATGGTTAAAATTATATAAAATATGACAAGACAAGTTAAAGATAGATTAAAAATTATTTAGAAAACATTAGAGCATTACGTCGTGAAGCCACTTGATGATTGCACAAATGGTGGTCATGGAATAATGAGTGCGATGAACCTTTGACAGAAGGCCGAAGGTTGTCAATGTCTGTGTTGAAAGATGGAATGAATTGTGGGCGTGTGCAAAAACCGTTGCCAAATCACTTCAGATGATGTGATTTTCAGAATGTTATGTAAGAAATTGTAAACCGACCAGAGGCAGTTGAATAAACTATATTTTAAGTAATGGGAATTTTAAATTGATAATTATAATAAATCGTGAGAAGAGAATTATTAGATTTTGAGTGGAATGAAATTTGTTGGGGAATCGGCCAAAACACAGATTATATTTATGGTTGTGAAAAGTCGAAATTTGGGGAGATATGTAAGTTCTCCAATTTTTCGCAGTTTAGCCAATATGAGTAAATGACCCTCAGTTGTTTATTATGTCTTTTTGTTGATCCAGTTGTTATTCATGAAAATGTGGGACATTTCCCGGAATAAACGTTTGGAAAGGTGTTTTTCTTTATCAAGAACTTTGATACTTAGATAGAATGCCCTGTTGGTTAACATGAGATGCTAGAGCGCATCTTTCAGGAATGAAGCCTAGCATCACGTTTGGTGATGTAATCCTTCCTTTAAGAGATCTGGAGGTCTGAAAGATGCGCTCTAGCATCTCATGGTAACACAACAGGGCATTATATGAATTAACAAGTATCAAAGTTCTTGATAAAGAAAAACACCTTTCCAAACGTTTATTCCTGGAAATGTCCCACATTTTCATGAATAACAACTGTATCAACAAAAAGACAGATATTAAACAACTAGTGTCATTTACTCATATTTGCTAACTGCGAAAATTGGAGAACTTACATATCTCACCAAATTCGACTTTTCACAACCATAAATATAATGTGTTTTGGCCGATTCCACCAACAAATTTCATTCCACTCAAAATCTAATAATTCTCTTCTCACGATTTATTAATAATTATTAATTTAAAATTCCCATTAATTAAAATATAGTTTATTCAACTGCCTCTGGTCGGTTTAACAATTTCTTACATAACATTCTGAAAATCACATCATCTGAAGTGATTTGGCAACGTTTTGGCACACGCCCACAATTCATTCCATCTTTCAACACAGACATTGACAACCTTCGGCCTTCTGTCAAAGGTTCATCTCACTCATTATTCCAAGACCACCATTTTGTGCAATCATCAAGTGGCTTCACGACGTAATGCTCTAATGTTTTCTAAATAATTTTTAATCTGTCTTTAACTTGTCTTGTCATATTTTATATAATTTTAACCATTGTACCATGTATCCAGCTCTCACCATGTTACTGGACGTTTCCCTCATCCTATACGAAAAAACAATTAGCAACATCCTCACATACTACTGTAAGTTGATTCAATTTAAATTCATTTTACACTTTTGATGCTACTGTTATCATTGTAATTGCAGCTCCTGATGATGATGGCAAAGTCCATTGAAAGCTAGAGAGAATTAAAAAAAGTATAAAGAGTCCTCTTTGCTTAATTTTGTTGAAGTACCCAACAAAAGGCGGAAGCTTTAATTTTTCACCTAACTGGTCTAGACGACAATGACCACGTCTCAAGTTATATATATAATATATATTATATACTCGTATATACAGGGTGGCGCAGAGGAAACGCATGTTTTCTGACCGAATGGTATTTCGCACAGAATAGGGATATGACCTCGCCGCACCGCCAGCAGAGAACACATGCGATGTAGTTTCAGCCATGGCACCGTGGATGACGGAGCATCGTGTGTTTGCCGTCGAGCAAGTTTTTCGAAACGATGATTCTGTAGTGATCGTGCAACGTTTATTCCGTCGACAGTTCAATGTTGAACGCCACGGGCCAATTCCAGATCGAAACACAATACTCCGATGGGTTGAAGCATTTCGAAGTACTGGATCCGTAATGAAGAGGAAGCCACCTGGCCTTCCCCGTACCGTGCGGACTCCAGGCAATATCGAAACAGTGAGAAGAGCGGTCCTTGATAGTCCCCAACGGTCCACTAGGCGCCAAGCTCCAACTCTGCGTATGTCCCGTCGGTCGTTACAACGCATTCTGCATGACGATTTACAATATCATCCGTACAAGATAATGATCGTGCAAGAGCTAACGGAAAGCGATTTTGCACAGCGTAGAGAATTTTGTGCGAGAATGCGGGCCATTTTTGCTGACGATCCTGACGTCGTCATAATGATGAGTGACGAAGCACACTTCCATTTAACAGGATATGTAAACAAGCAGAACTGTAGGTATTGGGCGGCCGAAAATCTACGAGAGCTACACCAACGACCCTTGCATAGTCAAAAATTAGCTGTGTGG